TTTTAGTAGTAAATGTAAATCATTACCGTATCATCTAGCCATTCTGGATTCACAAACAACTTATACAGCCACGTTTTGGACTCTATTTTGTGCATATCCAGAAGAAACGGGACATTGTGCATGTTTTCCTCTTCAATCCTGTACTTTCTATCACATCCCTTTTTCTTCAATTTCTTCAAGAGACCAACTTTTAGATATTCTTCCACCTTTTTTATTTCTTCTTCTGGTGGTCTCTCAGTCGGGTCTTCCACAAAAGGTCCATACTCTCTTGGAGGAAAATAACTTCCCTCTACATCTCTCTTAGCTATTTGCTTCCTTCTTCTCTTAGCCTGAACTTTAGTTTCTCCAGGTGTATATCGGTCTGGGGTCCTTACATTGCGCTTTTTTCTTTGCATTTGTGAGCATATGGTCTTCACCTGTAATTTAGTAATATGTTATAGTTTACTTTTTCCAAATATTTGGAATTTTGTTTCAAATATTTGGAACTTTTTCCAAAATATACTTACATCCTTTTCCACTTCTTTATGCTTTGTTCTGCTTTCCCTCATCTCACTCTCTTCAACTCCTTTTTCCATATGCTGCTAGTAAAACCAACACAAGAAAAAAATAAAAAATAAACATAACTACTCATATAACATAAAGTTCTTCATTTATTTAATTTTCTTTTTGTTTAAGGTTTGTAAAACAAAAATCTTACCGCTTTCGCATTGATGTCAGCAGTTGTGCTCGCTTTAGCTAGCATTTGTTTTTCTATTTCATCCACACTTGTGATCGTTTCATTCACAAATTGGGTGTTCACATCTCCCCAAGCATCATTATCAGTCTTCTCATTATTTTTGCCTTTCCGACTTGCTTCTTCTACTCTTGCACCCTCACCTTCTTCATCCACTCTTCCATCGTCGTCTACTGCATCTTTAACATTCTTGTCATGACTTCTTCCTTTCTCACTTACATCTTCTTCTTCCATTGTTCCACCGTCATCTGCTTCCTTAAATTTTTCCTGTGTTTCTGGCCCAAAAATATTAAAGTTTGGCAAACTGCAACCCACCTGATCATTATCTTCTGGAGCTCCACCAGTATCTTTAGCATTATCTTCAACATTTTCTTCTGGAGCAGCAACAACATCTTTATGATTATCTTCTGGAGCTGTACCATCATCTTCAGCATTATCTTCTTCAAATGTAGCATCATCTTTGGTATTATCTTCTGTAGTTGCACCATCGTCTTCAATATTATGTTTTGTCTCATCTCCACTCTCTGATTTTTCATTTGCACCATCGCTGCTTTCATCTACACTCTCCTCACTTACTGTCTCCTTCGCCTTCTCTTGGTTGTCTAACTTGTCCAATATTTGCTTAAGAAATCTCTCATTCCTCTTCTGTGCTTTCTTTATTAGTTTCATTTCTGCCATTAACTTGGCATTTTCTTTGCTTAGCTTCCTGACTTGTCTCAAAACAACAGTCACTTTCCTCTCATATCCAAAACCCACTACCCCTTCATCATCATCCTCTACCTCAACATCATCTGCATTTTTTCCTTTTTTTCCCAGTTCTCTTTGAAATCCTTGCTTTCTGATCCTTCCCTTTCTTCTTCTTTTTTTGAAATACCTCCACACCTTCAATTCTTTTTCCAACTATAAGACCACTATTGGCCCTTAAATTTGGAAATTTTTTAATTTCCAATCTTGTAGCATGCATCCTTTCCCATTCAAACTGCATGTAAAAGATCCAAATATACAGTTTAAATGTATTAATTGTCACTTCACATGTTATTTAAATAATAAGTAACGAAGCGAATTTACCTGTTTGTTCTTGAAGATTATCTTGCAGAAAACTTCCATATGTGGCTTTTTTTTGAACTCCCACTTCACTGCTCTTGGAATTCCTGTTTCTCTTCCTTCAATGACCTTGCATATATTTGCCTTTGTCAACCCTGTAAACGTTTCAAAAGCCCATACTTGTAATGCTATTAGACAACCTGGTAGAGTCACACGTTCCCCCTTGCACTTCTTAAGGCTCTTGCAATTTGTTCTCATGTTGGTCACCAAATCTGCCCAGACATCATCAGCCCATGGATATGTGTTGAATGCCTCTAAATCTTCGACCAGATTCACATAACAGTTTGGTAAATCCCTAGCCACTTGGTTTCCAAATAATCCATGTGATAGCACATGGAGTAGAGCAAGCTTCACACCATCATTTTCTTCACTTCCTTCATCTTCACTATTATATTTCATCAATGCATTTTGTACCTCACTTCTTTTCACACCTGTTTTTCCAAAATATTTTCTCCAAAAAGGTCCTTTCATCTCCTCTTCTAAAGTTGGTTTCACACCTCCCATTTTCAATCCCAATGCAATGCATAAATCTATTTTTGTAAAACTAATTAGACTGTTTTGGATGTGGAAGCGAATGACTTCTGTCTCTTTTATGTGGTTAACCTTTTTGACATAGTTGCATAGAAAACCAAGCTGAAGTTGACCACTGACAGTTCGCATTTCTTCCACATCCAACACCCATCCGAACACTGTCTTTCTGAACTCCTCTATCTCATTTGGTTTCAGTTGCTTCAATATTCTCTTCACGACTTCACTCAGACTACAGTAACAGTTAATTCGCATGCTCTCAACATTGTCCAATTCATTTTCGTTGAAAGATCTCTGAATCAACTATTTTAGCAAAAAAAAACAATTCAAATAAAGTGTCAACTGCTATGAAACACACAATCTGGATAAACATGACATCATTATTCTATAACACCAAGAAATCAAATAAAATGTCATCATATTCACAATAGAGGATATTTTTTCCAAAACTATGACTATTCTATTTGTGATTTACATAACTTATGCTTCACATTATTAGGATTTCTTCCAACATTTTGTCATTATGTATTCTTTAAATGCATCTATCTCCAACTATTCAACAAACAATATGGAAAAACATGACATCTTTATGGCATAATATCAACAATTCAAATAAAGTGTCATTACATTCACAATACATTCACACTCCATAGCAATAAGCGCATATACATTCACACTCCATGGCAATAAACAAATAAAAGTTGTATTACTATTTACATCATCATAAACAATTATTATTTGTTTGAAAATGTAATACAACTTTTAGTTGTTTATGCCATAAATCAAACAACAACTTCGAATAATGCCACAAATCAAACAACAACTACATTCAAACAATAACAACTACGAATTATGCCATTGTTTTGGCATTTCCTTATTTACTTTACCCCAACATACAGAATTAAATTTAGAGTTAAATTTATTTGAAAATATAATTACACTTTCACTTGTTTATGACATAAATCACACAGAAACTGCCAACTTAACCACATTTATTTCAAACTACTTCCATACTGTTCTGATAAATAGTCACACCAGCAAATTAAATCCTCACTGTTCTACGTTTTTACCAATTCATCCACTATTTTGACATTTTCGCAATTGCTATTTATGTGATTACAAACGATTACTCTTTCTTCCAAAATGTAATACAACTTTTATTTGTTTATGCCATAAATCAAACAACAACTCCGAATAATGCCACAAATCAAACAAAGACATTCGAACAACAACAACTTCGAATAATGCCATTGTTTTCTGTAAAATACTCACACTATTGATTTTACTTCCATTTTGATTTTCGATTACATTCATTAACATGCATGTCCAAAAAAACTTACCATGTTTCGATTCAGCCGATTGCTTGATCTTCTCGTGCTCTGTTTTTGAAAATCATCTTCTTCCATCTTAACTCCACTTCTCCTTCGTTCTTCGTCGTTTTGCGCCAGAAAAATGGAAAGTAGAAACACTTCCAATACGGCGAGACGGGAGTAGTTTAGGAAGATATGCGCCGGAAAATAAGATTGTATAATAAATGCGGTAACCGCTATATTTTCGGCTCTCAACTCCCTGTGCTTTACTTGGCGCTTCAAATACATCAGGCGTGCGGAAGTTTTAATTTGGAGGTTAAAATTGGAAACTTACCTTCTTTTGAGTCCCACGGATGCCAATTTCGTTTTTAGGTCCTATTTTTGCAAATGGCAAGGCTTTTAGTCCTATATTATAAATTAACTCTACTATAATAGATTGGTATCAGTCTCACTTTCCGATCTAATCAAACCAAACCAAATCATATCAGATGGTGCCTGACCAGGTTTAGATAATAGTAAAGACACATAGAGCACATATCTAGCCTATCAAATCAAATAAATTCAGTTCAATTAAACACATTTTTAGTAAAACTTTAATAAAGAGGCCCTATTTTAATCCTACATGTTATATTTAATTTTTTCCACAACTAAATTAAACAAGAGACTTTTTAAAGAATTCTTACTAAAAAAGTATCACCCAATTTCATCTTATAATCTCAATAAAACTACAATAAATATGTGTAAACAATTAAAGAATGTAAGACTTCCTTTTATAGCTTATGGGCTTATGGCTTCTTGTTTCTTTTGTAATCACTTTTGTTTCTCTACAGTTCGCATGCGGCGCAACTGGTGCACCTTGAGCATCATGCTCCACTCCTAAAAACGATGTAGTTTTGCACAATTTAAAAAAAAACGCGTGAACAGTACACACGTGTACAGTGGCTGTTTTTTTTCTTTTTGTCCCAGTAACATGAATGATGTAACTCGTGTGTAAAGATATGTAACTCGCGTTATTGATCAATGTAACTCAAGTCCGTTCGAAATGTAACTTGTTGGAAAAATGAACAATGATTTTTTTTTGTTTGAGATATTATAAACATTGATTTCAATGTAAACAATGAAAAATTGATCCTAATGGCTTAATTATTTTTTTATAAATAGTGAATATGTTTTATTTTTAATATTAGAGCAATAAAAATGATATAACTGGAATCTATTCTGTGGTGTAACTCGCGTATATTAAGATGTAACTGTACTGCAAGATGTAACTAAGGAAAGTTTAAATGTAATTCTATGTAACTTTAAATAAAACCAAACGGGGAACATATGTCATGTGCTCTTCTTTCGTCTTTAATTTGTTGTGCCACACAAATCAACCAAGCATCCACGCACAACTCAAATCATCATACCAATCCTTACGAATGGTTGTCAAAGTTCCCATTATAAAGATATTTCAAAAATTGAAGTTCAAGAATAGACCTTCAAATTAGATAAGAAAAAAATCCCTTCAACCGAACCCATCAAAACCCCCAATTTCTTCACCATCTCAATTTTGATTTTCACCAATCGTCTTTGCCAACTGGCATCAACACAAACAAAAGACGGAAACTCAGGATCAGAATCCAAGGAAAATGACGGCAGGCTTTGACGGCCATCTGCGATCTGGTAGAGGAAGATGAGCAGATGCGGAGTAAAAGAAATTAGGTAGAGCAGATGCGGATCGAGATGCGCAGATCCTGAGTTTTTTTATACAAAAATGGTACCGTTTTGGGATCGGTGCACCTTGAGCACGGTATGCCGATGCCACGGTATAATTTGCGGTTTCTCTATTTCTATCTATTGCTTATACGCTTCTCCCTATTACTCCCTCCAGGCAAATTATATGGTGCAACCGGCGCCATATAATAACTTTGTTTTTTTATATGGTGCGCCCGGTTGCAAAAACGACGCAACATTTGTTTTTTTTGTTTTGCTTTTGATGTTAAAAATGATAATAACTTTTTTATTTTTGATCCGATTTTTATAAAATTTATATCAATATTTTTTATTTGTCATGATCTTTCAAATGAGACCAATATTGTGTATGTAATTTTAAGAAATTATCGAACTATTATATTAATGAGTATTGGATTATAAGAAAAATCGAATCTGTTTGGGAGATGATAGGTTTGTGAAATAGAAGATCGAATTTGTTTGGGAATGGATCAGTGGCCTCAGTTACATTTGATAATACATTGAGTTACATCTTTTTATGAGTGAGTTACATCTTTTTATAAGCAAGTTACATCTTTTTATAAGCGAGTTACGTCTTTTTATAAGCAAGTTACATCTTTTTATAAGCGAGTTACATATATATATATACACACGAGTTGCATTTGACATGTCTGAACGCGACTTACATATATTTACACGTAAAGTTACATATTTTTACACGTAAAGTTACATATTTATACACGCGAGTTACATATTTATACACACGAGTTGCATGTGACCTGTCTGAATGCGAGTTACATTTTTTTTACGTAAAGTTACATATTGTTACACGTAGAGATACATATTTATACACACGAGTTGCATTTGACTTGACTGAACGTGAGTTACATATTTTAACACTTAAAGTTACATATTTCACACACAAATGTTAATATGTTAAAATTACATAGGCAATATTGGTCTCATTTGAAAGATCATGAAAAATAAAAAATGTTGATATAAATTTTATAAAAATCGGATCAAAAATAAAAAAGTTATTACCATTTTTTAAAAGCAAAAGGAAAAAAAATATATAAATCCGTCCCGGTATACGGTGTTCACCGTATACCGGTTGCACGGTATACGCACTCCTCCCTCCATCACATTTTACTTGTCCTACTTTCCTTTTTGGGTTGTCTCAAAATAAATGTCTCCTTTCCCTTTTTAGAAAGAAATATGTGACTACACTATTCACTTTAATATACTCAAATATCAACCACAATTTTTACTTTTTCAACCACTTTATTAATAATCGTGTCAAGTCAAAGTGAGACACATAAAATGGGAGGAGGTAGAATCTCTTCCTTGCAATGCTTTGTTTAATTTCTACGGACAATGGCTCTTCAAGAGAGAAAAGGCTACTAAAATCAACATGGAAAGCAAATATTGAGCATAAAACTATACCGGCGGGCGTAGCTCAACTGGTAGCAAGAGAGTGTCATAAGGGTTAGGTCCCGGGTTCGAATCCCGGCAACTGCGATGAGGGTTACTATGCTAAAATACATAGGGTCTCTGCAAGTACCGGGGACAGAGCCTCACTCTCTATCTGTCAGATTGTGATTATAGTCTAATTTACATCCTTCCAACGTACCATCCGGTCAGGGTTGGGGGGCCCTCAAGGATGGAGTGTCATCCTTTTTTTAGCGTAAAAGTATCATTTTGGCGGGCCTAATTGTTTGTTTCTTTTTCATTATTTAAGGAATGTGATTATGTGGTGTTAATATACTCCCTTGGATGAGTTCAATCCCAAAAGAACTTCGTAGTTTGACTTTACGGTTTTTAAGAAAGTGGAATTTTTTTTTGACTTTCTCGTTATGCCCCCTAAAAATTAGATAAGTGTAGTGGAAGAGAGAAAGTGAGTGTAAAGTAAGTAATAAAGTAAGGATATAAGGGTAGTTTATATTAAAAGTTTGCCAAAAATAGAAGTGAGAAGTTTATTTTGGATTAACCAAAAAGGAAAGTGTGAAGTTGTTTTGGGACTGGAGGGAGTATATGTATAAATAGAAATATATTTTGAAAATATATGGGAACATGTTACACCGACTTAAGAAAGAAAGTAAGAGCATTTCCGGACATATAGAGAGTAATACTTTGTGATATGGAACCAAGCATTCCAGTTCAGTTGGTCGTGAGGTCTCGAGTTCGAAACTCGCTAGGCACATAAAAGGTTTGAAACTCAATAGAGTGAGTTTCAACTCTGATTACTCCAAGCCACCCATTCCCCCTCCCCCAGACCCCCCTGCAGTAAAAAAACAATAAAAAAACTTTGTGATACGAAAAAACACTTGATTAATTTGTTCTGGTCTATACCATTAAAATGTTAGTCTAGTGTACACATTATCTTGGACAATACAGATCAAGAAAAGTATCTAATGGGAGTTGTGAAATAGTAATGTCTTGTGTCAAATTCACCGTTGGTAGACCTTGTAGAGGAAAAACTTCTTAGACTCATCGACGAACTTGTGGAAGCTCTATTATCCGTTCTAATGTTGCATTTTACACTTCCTACAAGAATCTGACAAGGGTACGAATGGGAGAAAGACATAAATAAGATAAAACATACACATGGAACCCAAATGGGATCGGAGTGGAAGTATTTTAAACCACAAATAGAACTACTTTTTTCGTGTAGGACAAAAACAACAAACATAGCATCGGGCCTTGACTGCAATTTAATTAGATTGGTGCAATTTAGTGTAAACAAAGAATAGCTACCAAACTTCTTTGTTGCCAAAGACAAACCAAATAATTGAGTATTGGAGTCATTCAATGCGTTTATTTTCATGGTGATTTTGGAAGCGGCAGGAAGAGAAGAGAGAGGCGCAAAGTAGATGAGCATCCAAATTTATTTTAATTTTATAAATACGAAAAAATCAAATTTTCGAGAATATTGAAGGGATGATTCGTAGTTCCATTCATACCCTTGTCAGATTCGTAAAGAAGTGTAAAATACAGCATTAGAAAGGATGATAGAGCTTCCACAAGTTCATCGATGAGTCTAAGTAGTTTTTCCTCTACAATGTCTACCAATGGTGAATTTGACACAAGACATTATCATTTCACAATCTCATATTAGTTACCCATATGTAATTATTTCCAAGTAGTCTTTGGTTCGATTCTCCTAGGGGTGTGCACAATTCGGTAAACCGACCGAACCAAACCGATATCGAAATTTCGGTACGTGCCAAATACCGAACCGAAATTTCGGTTCGGTAATCGGTATGTATAATTTTGAAAATTCGGTATTCGGTTCGGTATATATATAAATATTTTGGTTTTCGGTATGTACCGAATACCAAAATTAATAAAATAATAAATATTAAATATATAATATATTTATATTATATAGCAAAATGGCTCACTAAACTGTCTGCGCTTCTTTGTTATGGAGCAGCGCCAGTCCATGCAATTTTGGACGTGATTTTCACTATGGGTCATCTGGAAACAATCTCTCTGTGCTTTAGTACAGGGTTAAGATTGCGTACATCCGACCCCCCCCCCCTTACCCCACCGTAGGTGGGAGCCTTTGCAGCACTGGGGTAAATGAAAAAAAAAACATAAATATATAAATATATATAAGCCATAAATATATAAATATTAATATATTTATATATTTTAGCCATAAATATATAAATATTTATATATTTATGTATATATATATCATTATTTATAATATACATATATATATATATATATATATTTCATTATGTATTTATATACTATATATAATATATTTAAATATTTATTTATAAATTATTACATAAATATTGTTGAATGCATATTTGGTAATTCGGTTTTACCGATAACCGAACTGAATTTTTTTCGGTTTTTACTGTTCCAAACTGATTTAGTTCGGTTCAGTATTCGATATGTGAATATGCATAACCGAAATTTCGGTTCGGTTCGGTTCGGTTCGGTTCGGTTCAGTATTACCGAATGAACACCCCTAGATTCTCCTACCCATTGTACTTTCCTTTTCTCAAATAAATAGGTAGGGTGTTCCTTGACCCTTACCCAAATGCCTTTATGGTTTTTGGTTTAACACCAAGTAAAACAAAAAAGAGTAAACGTTATTAGATTCAACAATGAACCTATGGAAGCACTCTCACTTCTTCTAATTAGGGATGGATTCGGTTCGGGCCATCCGGCCCGTGACCCGGCCCGGCCCGGTACTGTGCGGGCCCGGGACCGGCTCGGTCGGGCGGTCCGGGACCGGGTATGGACCCGAACCGGTGGGAAGGGGCAGGGCGGGCTCGGTGCTTGATTATTGTGACCCGGCCCGGCCGGGTCGGGCCCGGGCCCGGGTCCGGTCTAATTTTAAAAAAAAAATGGTTTGGGCTACTAACCGTTGGGGGTGGGGCTGGGGACAACCCAAACGGCTATATAGCCGTTGGGTGGGGTAAAGGGGGGGTCCGGGGGGTTGGCTGGTGGGGGGGGGGTGGTGGGGGGTGGGGGGTAAAAAAAACCTATAAATACTCCTAATCTTAAACATTTTTTCATATCTCTTCTCCAATTCTTCCTAAATCCTATTCTTAACTCTCTACTCTCTAATTCTCTTATTCTCCAATATATTATATTTATTATTTATATATCTACTTTATAGTTAATACTTAAGAAGTTAAGATGGAAAATCAAGATGCCATTATACGGTATAATTTTGATAAGCAGAAGGACCCGAAGACCGGGATGTGGTACGCAATTTGCAAATGGTGCGAGAAAAAATGTAGCATGGGGGTTTCTGGCGGATTCGGAATGACAATCAAGCATATGAAGTCATGTGACAAAGTCAAAGGATCGGGAGGTGCGAGAAGTTCCGATTGATTACAATTTTCAAAATGTTTATCTGTTAAAGTTTGTTTTAATTTTCAAATGTAGTTCCTATTTCATTTCAAATAAATGCAATTGAAGTTTGTTTTTAATACTCGTATAAAACTATAAACTATAAAATATAAATTATAAAAAAAAAAATTAACCGGCCCAGCCCGAACCGGACCCGACCCGTGACCCGGGCGGGTGGCCCAGCCTGGACCGGACCCGTCCAACCCTCGGGCCGGTCCCGGGCCCATGTCATACTACCCGGCGGCCCGACCGGGCCCGACCCGGCCCGAGTCCATCAATACTTCTAATGCTGCATTTTACACTTCCTTCACGAGATTGACGAGGATATGAATGAGAGAAAAAGATAAATAAGACTAAAACATACACAACACATGGAACCCAAATAGGAGTTGGAGTATTTTAAACCCCAAATAGAACTACTTTTCCGTGTAGGACAAAAAAAATGTCTGGGGCCTTAACTACAAAACGTTGGCTGCCGCTAGCCTTTTCAGATGCAGCGGACCTCCCATATGACCTTACGGGAACTACAACATTGGACTTCGTTGCCGCCACATGTAACACCGCCATCGCACATTGCCACCGCCACTTGCCACAACATCTTGCCACTGCTGCCGCCGCAACAAGTAAAGCACCAAGAGGTAGATAAGTAAGTTCAGAACAAAATAGAAAACCAAAAGCCCGACGAGCACAATTTAGATCGGTGCAATGACCCGGACCAAACTAGACTTAAACATATCATCCCAGACTTAAACAGACCAGATAAGATCAAACTTGGACAATTATAAATTACGCAAAGACCAGACATTTATCATAATAGATAGGACCAGTTCAGACTTCAGATAAGACCAACAAATTTCAATCCCAAAGAAAACATTCTCAAGGTAAAGAAAGAATAAGCAGCAAACGAGTAATTGAGTATTGGAGTCATTCAATGCGTTTATTTTCATCGTGATTATATGTCCGCAATCTTATATTAATACCAACCAATCAACCATACGTATAATATAGCTTCATATTGCAAAATTTCATTTACATTGCATTTATAGATTAAAAGTTAAAATTATGAACACATTTTTACTACACACCAAAAGTAACTCATGCAATCCTCAAACCCTCACATGATCACCCTTCAACACCCATAAATACATTTATATCCTCTAACAGGAGACACCTGTCTCCAAAGACAACTCAGGATTCATCTTGAGACCCAGCAGAAAGCAACCACGCCAAGTATTCTGGACCATGTTCAAGAATAGGATCAGTATCTCTTGGCGAGACAATTCTTTTACTCATTAAAGTCTCCAAAACAGGAAGCTTCCTTTTCCTACCACCTCTTTCCTTTGAACGGAATTGCTCATCAGACTCTACAAAGTCTCCCTGTTGATGAAGTAAATTCCCATGGGATATTCAGTGTACTATTCAACAATCACATTTAGCTTTTCTATGAAGAGAACTTACTTCAGTGTAAACGTGGCATCCAGACTTTTCATGGTTATCTCTCACATGCTTGAATGAAAATCTCGCACCACAGCCAGAAATACTGCAGACAAATGGCTTCAGTGATTGGTGAAAAGCTTTCACGTGCTGATTTAGATTTGATCTCTGCATGGAAAATCATGAAAAACAATTATGTGTGTGTAACACAAAGATACAAAGCATTATCAAGATGGATAAGGCAAATGGAAATGCAGTTCCCGGGTATTAGGAATAGACTACTTACTGTTGCAAATGTACGTTCACAGTCCTCAAAGTCACACTTGATTCTCTCCGACGAAGGCTGTGCTTCATGCGTTCGAAGATGGCGCTTTATATTCTTCTTTAGTTGCTTTGTTCCACATGTCTCACAGACAATATGTTGGTGGGAGGACTGAATGTGTTCTTTAAGGCACTGTTGATTAGTGAAATGCTTTAAGCACCCAGGTTCCGCACAAAATGCTTCAACTGTCTCTAACTTCACTGTAACAAGTAATAACCATGAACATATTTTAGTTACATCCTTAAAATTTTTAAACATAGATCCCTTTTGGTGAGGAATAAAATGGCGGGATTGGCTGAATTAACTAAAAGCTGTTGAATTACAATAAAAGTATAAATTTAAATATAAACAATAATATCTATAAAAAGCAATAGTATCAATTCCAGCCAAACCAGTAACTCATGCAATGTTTTTCCATTATCAGTGATTCAGACAGCATAGTGAAATAAGTTAAAATTGGTAAAACGACTGGCTAATGAAGCCTGGGTGCTTAAAGCATTTCACTAATCACACATTGAAGAGTTCAAGAATCAAGCACTTAGAAACTTTAGCATTATTTGATAGTAATATTCTTTAGTAGCGAGGCTCACCATGAGAATCTTCATGTTTCCTTAATTGGGATGGATACTTGAAAGACTTTCCACAACCAACTTCGGTACACACCTGCTGCTGCTTTGGTGCTTCAGCATCATCACTTGCAGAACACTGGTCATGCATCTCCAGTACATGACGCTTAGCATTACTATTATAACTAAATTTCCGGCCACAACCAACAACCGGACAATCAAATAGCTTGCCTTTATGCTGAAGAAGATGTCTAGTCAAGTGATCCTTCCTTCTGTAGCTAGACTTGCAATCAACTACCGAGCATGTGAATGGCCTCTATTTGAGAGAAAAGGAAAAAATAACTTAAACTATTGAAAACTCAGTCTACAAAAGTGGAAATGGAGAAAAATATAGAATGGGAAAGGGTATGATCTCTAAGCACACCAGAAGAAGACAGCGTGATTCAGGCCTACTTGATGGAGCTTCTCAGGAGGTCCCCCTGCCTGGTACTATTCCATTCAAGATCATATGAATGCCATGCGCATTTTGGAGTTCATTGTATGGGATCCAATGCTTCACACTTCTGATAATGGATAATCAATTGAACCTTTAAATCTCAATCTGCAAGACCACACAAGATTCTGAAACCCAGGTTGTACGCGGTCAAAAACTAAAGCAGAACCGATAACAAATCTCTCGTTAAAAGTACAAATATATACATGTGTACCCAGGTCTGAATAAATATAGAGATAAACATGCATATCAAAAACTAAATTTTGAAACACAAAATACGTTAATCAAATAGGATATTGACCTAGCCGCATATAAACTACTCTACAGGCTCAAATCTCTATACAATACCTCAAGGGAATGACTTTGCATATGCTGCTTCAAATAAGCATATTTCCTAAACTTGACGCTGCACTCTTCACATGTGTGAATTTTTGGCAACTTTTCATCTGAATCTTCAGATTCGCTTTTCGATGTGAGCTCATCCTAGTCAATTTATATATAAAAATCAATTCTCGCATATTTTGATAGTTTGATAAACCAATAATGCAGGCTGATAGACGTACCTGGTGATGGGAAAGGATATGGGAAGAGATGAGTGTTTTCTTGGAACGGATGATACCACAGAACTCACAGCAGTATCTCCTCGTGTCTTTGAAAATAACTGGCCTCTTCTGCTCGACCTCTTCCATTGATTGATTGTTCACTGTCTATCTGTCCACACAAAAATGTAATCATGTTATTGGTTGAAAAATACAGGTTCTTAAAAAGGTATCAGGATTTCCACCTCTGCTAAATTTTTGGAATGAGCCCATCCATTACAGATTATTAGCATATTTATGCACCTCACTTCAAATTATTACTCCTTACTAATGTTACATAGTTCAGAGCATTAAAAATTATTGTTAAGCTTAACATCTGATTGATAAGCTTAATAAGAAAAAACACTGCCATATGGACACTTCATAAATATTTGGTGTTTATTTAATAGAGTGCTACCAACTTCATTTTGTGTTTATTAAATAAAAAAAAAGTATGATCTACCTACTAATCTACTCATTAAATTCAAACTATCTAAGACAAGAATATATTTGTAAGCACAAATTTCACATAGACGTCAAAGGCTGTATCCAAATTTTCCCAAAAACAGATTGAATATTGTTTTAAAAGATGTGTTTGTTAAGAACCTGTGTTAATGATGTGTTAATGAGTGTTTCTGTAATTCAGAGGGAAGGTAATTGTTGACTGGGAAGGAATATATGATTTCTGAAGAATTGAAATCTTAAGTAGGAATTAAATTGAAGTCTGACCTAGTCAAGACACACAAAATTAATCCTTCCAAAAGTTCCTTTATTGATAATAATAATAATAATAATGACCCTTATATAGAGGCTGATACAAGAGTCCTAAAGGCAATTAATAATTAGGCAGTTGCCTAAACTGAAATAGGAATACTAGAATAATTAGGCAGTTGCCTAAAACAGAAATAGGAATACTAGAATAATTAGGCAGTTGCCTAAAACTGAAATAGGAAGAATAGTATAATTAGGAAGTTGCCTAAAAATGAAATAGGAATAATAGTAATAACTAATTAATAGTTTTCTTTCAGCCACTTTGTTTCTCGGTATAGTTGGGCCCACTGCCCGAGTATGAATCTGCAACGTTCTGGGCTCGTTCTTGGCCCTCTCACCTGCTGTATTGTTTGCCCCAGAATGCATCCATAACAGTGTTACATCCAAAAGATTGAAATATTCAATGTCCTACGGTCCTACCCAACTAAATTTTCTTTAAAGAACTTCATTAACAGTTTTTCCTGTTACTTTTAACCTGACTACAGCATATCATTTTAATCAATAATCTCCATAAAAGACATATAATTATTAATTATGTCTTAGAATAGAGATATCTGTGTTTTACAAAAAAATCTAGAGTATTAGACATTATAACACTTAACATGCTCGCATATTACATACTTCGATATATACTACACATGAAGTACATGAATATTGTTACAGATATTTACTATAGTAGTTAATAGTCTGCATATACTCCGTAATTCATTATTGAGAACATGATTGTAATTAATTACTATGGTTAGTACCTTTCATTATTTGTAAGCAGAGCAGCAAACAGATTGAATATTGTTTTAAAAGATGGTTATATCCAAAAGCTTGAATTATTCAATGTCCTAACCAACTAATTTTATTTAAAGAACTACATTAACAGTTTTTCCTATTGCTTTTAACCTGACTACAACACATCATTTTAATCTCCGTAAAAGACATATAATTATAAACTACAACAGTATGTCTTAGAATAGAGATATCTATGCTTTACAAAAAAATCTTCACATGCTCTCATATTACATACTCCCTCCGTCCCTATTTAAAAGATCCCCTTTGACCTACACACAATTTAAGAAAATGGCACTGTTTGGCACTGTTTAGGACACTATTTGGCACTACCTGTTTGGCACTGTTTTGTTTACCAAATAAGGAAAGGGGAAATTTTTAGGGAGGACTGAAAAGGAAAGTGGGATGTTTATTTAGGGACGGAGGAAGTGTATACTACGCATGAAGTACATAAATATCGTTATAGATATATACTATAGTACTCTCTCTTTCCCGCAAAATAATTCCCGGTTTTCTTTTTGGGTCGTTCCAAAAAATAGTTCACATTTCCCTTTTTTGAAAGTTTTGTGAGGCTACCATTCATTTACTTTTTTCTTAATCAAACACAACCGTACATTTCCACTTTATTCCCACTTTATTAAACTCTGATCCAAATCCTAGTGGGAACAATTTTATGGGAGGGAGGGAGTAGTTAAAAGTCTGCATATACTCTGTCATGCATTATTGAGAACACAATTGTAATTAAGTACTGGGGTTAGTACCTTTCATTATTTGTAAGAGAGTAGTAAACGTGTGTCAGTGTAAACCCTCCATTTAGAACCTTTGATTTTGAAAAGATTGTTCACGCATGGCTATAAATTAAAATTAAAATAATAGAGATCTTCCGATGTCGATTATTTTGAATTCAAGACACAAGTTTTAACCGTGTTTAAGCCATCGTACAGAGCAACTGAAATAGATGTGCGCCTAGGTCTAAAAGTGAATGGAATAGATGATTGGCATAAATTAGGAGTATCACTAGGAAAAATACAGGAAATAATCAATAAAAGAGAAGAGGACTGGAGGAATACTGGAACTATGGAAGGTCGGAAGGTGAATATTGAGATGGCCCGGTTTGCCGAACCGCCTAAGGGTGACTGGTTGAGTGCGGGAGACCGGGCGACGGGCGTGTAGCGAGTAGGCGACGACTAAGAAGGCGTGCTACGGTGCTGGCTCCTGGCGGAGTGGCGGTGCTGCCTTGCTGGCACCTGCCGGAGGACGAAGCCGCGAAGGGTGTCGGCGACTTGACGGTTTGATCCAGAGATGTCTGCTCGGCTTCCTCTTTTAAAGTCACGATTCTGTATATTCTAGGGATAGGAAATTGCCCAATGTAGCCATGTAGAGCAAATGAAATTTTCTATTCCAAAATAAGATTAGTATGTTTTTATTCTAGAAATAGATGTTGCCATTATCATGTATGATACTAGCATTAATTATAAAAAATACAGTCATGTTAAATGCACTGTACTGCAACTATTTTGCAGTCACGCGTATAAGATAACAGTAAATACAATCATGTTAGTCTCATTTCAGAAATAAAAACATAATAGTACTATTTTGAAATTTCAAAATCCATTTACTCCTATTTTTGGAAATCTTCCTATTTTCTATGTGTGTGTAACATAGAGTATCCTAAAATACCAGACTGTTGTTTTCTTTTTTTGGCACTTTGTTTTTGACAAACCATTACAACCAATGTGAACATTAAGAGATCAATTATTTTTATTTATCTTCATACAGGATATGAAGTAAAGAGAACATTACTTTACACAATCCATAATGCTACTCGGAAAAATTGGTTCAAGGTGCAAAATTAGTTAGCTCTGAAAATTAGAGAGAGAAAATTGTCATTTTTTCATTTCTATATATTACTTGAGTATCGTAATGGTAAAAAATGAAAATAATATTCTTTTTTAGTTATTCCTTTAATTATGATAAGTAATGATAACTAATAGTTTAATTTGAGGGGGGATACATGGTTATACCGTTTATATATTTTAGGAAATGAGAAAAGATTCTCATTTCTATTTTAGGAAAGAATTAGCAATCTTAAATGATAATATGATCATTAGATATTAAAAACAATACATTTAAAACATCATAATTATGTTCCTACGGTATGTAGGTTTTGAGCTTCCGCGCCATATTCCAATTGTGCGGGTCGTATGTTAGTTTTGTTTTCTTCTTTCTATAGATAGCGTTCTTTCGAAGGTGTGTAGGTCTTCTTCAGCGGTTTGTTCTCGGAAGATCCAAACAGATGCAGGTAGCGGGCGATACCTTAGAGAAGGCGGCTTCAATGGAGGATTTGGTGCAGACGTGACAAGGATTGGTCCTTAAGGAATAGAAGGAGGGGATTGCTATCGATCTTGAAGAGGATTCAGGTGAAGCAGTCAATAAAGGACTAGGGGTTGCGGTTGTCGGTCGATTGGTTAATGACAAATCAATCAAATTTCCATATTTCAGAGATTTGATGGCATCAATATTGAGGCCAGCTATGAGAGTTTTCATAAAAGAGATTGGGGAAAAATGTATCTTTATACTTTTTCATGAAGTTGATATGAAACGTGTTTTTGAGAATGACCCGTGGCTTTTTTAGCAGAATTTGTTAGTTGTGCATGCTTTACAGGATGGTGAATTGCCGCTGTCAGCCCCGCTTAATAAGGCTAATTTTTGTATTCAAGTGTTTAATTTACCTATGGGGTCCTTTACTCTGAAATTTGCAAAAAAAATTGGGAACTCAATAGGTAAATTAATAGATGCTAAGGAAAAACAGTTTGAGGAGATCAGGAGGCCATATATCCCATTGAAGGTTTGTTTGGATGTAAATAAGTCTTTGTGCAGGAAATTAAAACTAGATAAAGATGAGAGGAATTGCTTTTGGCCGGGTAGATATGAGATATGAGAAAGTTCCAATTTCTTGCTTTGTGCGTGGTCTTATTGGACATGCAGATCATTATTGTCCATTGGAGTTCACGGTCCATGGCTGCGGGTGTCAGAGGTATGGGAACGAGAGGAAATAAATGGTTGGTCCAGCTAGACACACAAGGTGGGAAGGGGTCAAGTAGAAGTGAGAGGTCTGTGGATGATTTGATGGTGAGTTCTCATGAAGAAAAATTAGCAATGATCCTGGTGCAAGATGAAACTTCAAAGAGCTTAGAGGTGGTTATAGCTGTTAATCAGGTTGGGGAGCCTAAGAGGAGAAGAATGTTGGATCTCCATGAGCAGGATGGTCAGGAAGCGGGTGCAATGATGACTTGATGGGGCAAAAACCATGGAGGAGGCAGGTCTAGGTTTCTAGAATCGCCTAACATCTGCTCTTTTATAACTTGTTTGCTATTATTTTAGTTTATTGCTTTGGTAAGAGTCAGGATAAATGATACATAATATAGATCGGTCATAATTGGATTACAATTGTCCAAGTGGGTAAGAGGTGACTAATTTTAAGTTTGATCCAAATGCGTATGATCGAGTTATGGTTTCTAATCTTTATAGGTTGTATGTTTTCTACGGGGTGGATGATAGTTGTGATTTTGATAATATTTTAATATAAGCCGATTATTCTTAAAAAACATCACAATTATCAATACATACCTATTAAAATTATTTATGTAAATATACTCAAATTATCTTATTTAATTATTTAATTATCCTGAATCGCCCATTTTGCAAGGCAGTCTTTTAACCCGGAGCAGTAATAATGAAAACTGATCCAAGTTTTGCCTTTCCTCGCGTTTCCGTAGCTGATAGCTCTGGTGCTGCAGCCATGAAACTCAGAAGATTTCTATCGATTCCCATTATATCAGTGCTTATCTTAAAGGGCGTTTTGTACTATGTGACGGTTTTCATCTTTATAGAGGACTGGATGAGCCTGCAGAGTTCTGCTGGCTCGTTGAACGCTCTCATCTTCACTTTCTTCGCTTCTCTGTGCGTATTCTGCTATTTTGTCTGTGTTGTTAAAGACCCAGGTTCTGTTCCCTCATCATATGTGCCCGACGTTGAAGAACCCCAACTTTCTGACCAAGAATCCGGCAGAATTGTATGTTTTCCATCTTTTTCTGCACTTCATTTTAAGCTATCATCACTAATTTTTCCTTCGATTGTTGAATGCACTTTTACAAAATGTTGCGTTTTCATATTTCAATTTGTTTGTATGACAGTTGGAAGATGGATTTTAGTGTTTTGTGATGATATCATGGTTATGACTTATGAGAGTTTGGTAGATCATTTATAGGTAATGAATTTCTGCTTAGGATTCTATGAGGCAACGGGTTACGTTGTTGTAGAGACCACAGTGCTATTTCTATTAACTGCTAGAAGATTTCAAGTAGAGGGGTTATATCTTATAAGACTGTAACACTTCAAGCAGAGATGAGCAATTGATCCAATCTCTCATCCACCTCTCCAAATGCTTCAATCATATTGCTCTCCCAATTCCCAAACATAATAGTATGTGTTAAGTGCCTAATCATAATAGTGTAATAGACTAATAGATTAAGACTCTATCAGTCTATTGTGTAGTTTAACTCATACTATTACAAATCTAGGATAAATGATATTGTTAATTTCGGAACTAATTCACATGCATCTCCAGTACAATGAAATACTGATTTTTCTCTCTCACACAGGTAAGACGTTTTAATTCTTCACAGCTTTTCATTAATCTTCTTCTTTCAGTCACACCTGTAAATATATGTAGGAAGCTTCTTACATGCATATATATTGTGAAAGTTTCATATTCTGTAACACTTATGATTGCTTAGATCATTCTTGTAACTTTCATATGCGAATTTAATACACTCTCAGGGTATACTACAAGCAAGGAAATGTGAAAAGTGTTCGGCATACAAGCCTCCCCGGGCTCATCATTGCCGCATCTGCAAAACATGTATTTTGAGGATGGTAATTGTTCATAACTTATAATGCACTTATCTTTGCGGTTGATAGTGCATCTTATAACATAATGATCTGGTACAAAATATCTATTTCAGGATCATCACTGTCTCTGGATAAATAATTGTGTGGGCCATAGGAATTACAAGCCCTTTGTGCTTCTAGTCTTTTATTCCACCATCGCTTCAACTTATTCTTCGGTTAGCTGACCTAATCCTTTTTAATGAATCTTCTTGTTGGTACCTGTGATTCTTTAACGTGTTTCATATAATTTGATATTCTTAACGATATCAGATTATGTTGATAAGCAGCATAGTTAATAAAGATTGGAGTTCTGCTGATGTCAGTGGATGGAGTCCTCTCTGGATATTTTATGTAAGTTTGTTCTAAATAAAGATATACTATAAGAATTTGATTCCTGGTGCATTGGCTGTTAACTGGCATCATTTCACTACTTATCCATAAAAAAATGCTGCTACAAATGTATTTATCTCAATGATCCTTGCACACTAAGGATGTTTTTACTTGGACTGTTTTCAGTCCCAAATCAAACCAGACCACACTTAGATAGTTAGAAAATACACAGAGACCAGACACTTATCAAAACGGTTCAGACCAGATCAGACCAGATCAGAAAATATAAGCCCAAGTAAAAACATCATAAAAGCCTGTTTGTTAAGACTCTAAATGCTTGAAGTGGCTAAATCTTCTGAACTATTGGTTGAAATGACCAGTTTTCTTAATCATTTGAACAATTTTATTTTAACATTTAAGGAATCAAAATCTAAAAATGAAGCTATAAGTACCAATTTCTGCCATTTCAGCCAAAAAGATACTTTGATTACTTTTTTACAAATTGGCTGAGGCTTACAATGGTATTTTAACTTGGCCTGAATTTTTCTGGTTTGCTCAATTTAAGCCTGCTATGGTCTATTTAATTATGCTATTATTTGTTTAAGTCTGCTCTAGTCTATTTCAGTCCAAGTGAAAACTAGCCCAAGTCGAAACTTAAAAATTTACCAAATGGGCTTTATGTTCTCGTAGATTCATAAGGCTTTGATAGATTTGCCTATACAAGGCTTGTGTAGACTAAAATGTCTTTATAATAACTCTGTTCTCTTAGCCCTGTTATGGTTGGGGACTTGGGGATTGTTATGGGAAAGGTGCTGCTTAATTTATTGAAATAATAATTATATATGAATAAAATAAAACCGATGGGCAAAAAATGTGATTTTTTATACACCGACTATGTTATTAACTTTTAGTGACTATGTTTACGTTCAATTTTATACTGTATTGACCAATGACCATGCCATCAGGAGCGGAGTCAGGGTACTGGGCCGGTACAAAGATTTTTTTTTGAAAAAAATTTACCCGAAATTTTTACACTAAAAATAAAGGCATTTTTTTAATTTGGGGCGGGCCAGGGCCTAGGTTGGCCCTCCCCTAGCTCTGCCCCTGCATGGCTGCATGCCATTATAGTCAATAGTATATTTAGTCATATTTTTCTCCATAAGTTTTATTTATAAATATTTAGGATACCCCAATTTTTTAAGCTATTCTTTCGTTTGGCGGTTGGTAAGAATAATTATTTATGTTTTAAAACTAACAAAATAGATATAAATTGCTTCTTTTTATTAAAAAAGAGTTGAAACAAATTCTCCTCTGAAATCTCCTAAGCAAGCAACTCCTTATCTGAGTACCTTCCTAGCTCATATCAAATTGTATGATTATATCTACATAGACTATTTGGTCTCGGTGCAGAGAACTAGAGAAGTCCAGCTTAAGATTTCTGAACTCATGGTAAGGTAACATGTATAATTAAAAATGTTTTTGACTTATATACAGCTGATACAGAGAGTTTTGTGATATAATAAGATAGGATTATCAGTGAGCATATTTTTTGCATCTCAAGGTGGGGGTAGCAGCGGCTAGTGAAATGTGAAAATTCTGATGGAAGGTGTAATATATTCAGGTAACTTGTGGAGTTATGATTGTTGTCTTAACTGTGACTCTGGCAACTCTCCTTGGCTGGCATATCTATCTCACTGTTCATAACATGACAACCATAGAGGTAATTGATTAGTTAGGTAATTGATTACAAGGTGCATCGGAAAGTATATGATATTAATCGTGTGATAGCAGTTGTATATTTTTGTCTCAATATGTTGAATCATGATGGGATATTAATAATTATAGTACTATGAGGCAAGTAGAGCAGCTTGGTTGGCTAGAAAATCAGGGGTGGCCTATCGTCATGCCTTTGATGTTGGAACTCATAGAAACATAGCTCTGGTATGAGATCTCTCCCTCACATGATTGGCAAATGTATATAAACTAGTTAATTATAAGAACTGTTCTTCGGCAATTTTATTTTATTTTGTATTTTTTTAAAAATATAGGTTTTAGGTCCAAATATGCTGAAGTGGTTGTGCCCAACAGCAATCAACCATGTCAAAGATGGTCTTGACTTTCCAGCATCACGTGATAATAACTCTTGAACTGAATCTGCAACCAACACCAAAGGTTTGGGCTTCATGAACTGATCTCTGGCAATGTCATCAGACAATTTTTTAGCAACTGAGAGGATGAATGAGCTAAAGACTCAAATACTATCATATATTCGCTGGCCTATTCACAAGAACAGCTGGGGTGGTGGTTTATTTTTCTGTATATGTGCATAACCAATCAAAAAAGGCCTCCAGAGTTTTGGTAACTTAAATATACTCCCTCCGTCCCTTAAAACTTTGACAAATTTCCTTTTTTGCATGTCCCATTAACTTTGTCACTTTCCTTTTCAACTAAAGAATTTGTGGTTCCAGTTAACTCTCTCTCCTATGCACAAACTGCAACCACACAATTTTTACTTTATTAATCCCCGTGTCGGTCAAACGTGTCAAAGTTTTAAGGGACGGGGGAGTATATGATAACATGTAACACAATATTGCGTATATATATTGATTACTGATTTAACCAACTTGTGCTCAACTGCTCATCTATGGGTTGGGTATTCACTTGTCAAGCCAGTTTCATTGGGCGTAATGCAGAAGTAATTTTCATGAAAGATTTTGATTTCTTTCTGTATTTTGTACTCTGTGTGTTAATCCTCGATTCCGCGAAGAGTGTTTTGCAATTTATGTTCATTCATTTATGCATCAGATACTAATACTCTTATGTAGTAACAGTTCGAGTTATAATCAGACATCATGGCGCATTCACAAGCGGGGATCTGGGGCTCTGGGCTGGTTGAGGGTAATGGAGGATTCCTGGAGGAACCATAACCTTAACTGGATAAACCTATTTTCCCCAAACCAAACGAATCCAATCAGTTTCAATCCTATTTTTGCTCGGTATTTGTAGAGTAAATGTAAATTAAGTTTATCTTATGCACGATATTTTGATTGTAATCTTTGTTATTTAATGGAAAAAGTTTATCCTTTGGTAGACAATGTGTACTTGACTTTCATAAAGAAATGAAAAGTCGTGCCAAATATTAGTAGTGCATTTTCATGAGTTTATAAAGAGTTGTATCTTTTCCTACAATAAACAACATCTAAGACAATAGATTTTGAGGTCAGCTAACATGAGTTTGTATCTTTTCATAATCGCCATTTATGCATGTTGGAAATTTGGAATGTAATACTCCCTCCGTCCTGCAATGAACTTCCCACTTTCCTTTTTTGGATGTCCCAGAAACAAGTTCTCATTTCCTTAAATGACAAATTAATTTACATCAAAACAATGCCAAACAATGTCGAAACAATGCAAAACAGTGTCAAATAGTGTCAAAACAGTAAAATTTATCTCATGGCAGTGATGGACTCGGGTCGGGTGGCCCGACCCGGAACCGGCCCGGGACCGGTACTGTTCCGGCCCGACCCGACCCGGTGGCCTGGTCAATGACCGGCCGGGTAGGCTCGACTCGTGGGTTTTCCGGTCCGGGCTCGGGTCACCCAAAACAAGGCCCGACCTGGTCGGGCCCAAATTTTTTTATTTTCAATTTTTTTTTAAATTTTCGGGTTGGGCTGGGTATTTTGGGCCATTTGGGGTGGTTTGGGGGTTGGGGGGTGGGAGGGGTTAATTAGGAAGAGGGGAAAATTGATAATAGGCCCGGCCCGGACCCGGTGGGTACCCGGGCCAGTCCCGGGCCCATCTATTCAGAACCGGCGGCCCGGACCGGGCCCGACCCGCCCTGAGTCCAACTCTACATCATGGTAAGTTTATTTCCTTAATATGTGTGTAGGTCAAACTGTGAAGTTATGCATGGACTCGGGCCGGGTCGGGTCCGGTCGGGCTGCCGGTTTGTAACTCATGGACCCAGAATCGGCCCGAGGTTTGGACGGGTCTGGTTCGGGCCGGGCCACCCGCCTGGGTCACGGGTTCGGGCCACCCACCGGGCCGAGCCGGGCCGGTTAAAACTAATTTTTTATATATAATTTATACTTTATAGTTTTATACAAGTATTAAAAACAAACTTCAAGTGCATTTATTTGAAATGAAATAGGAACTACATTTGAAAATTAAGAGAAACATACAATATGAAATACATTTTGTAAATTGTAATCAATCGGAAGTTCCCGCACCTCTCGATCCTTTGGCTTTGTCGCATGACTTAATATGCTTCATTGTCATCCCGTATCCGCCTGAAACCCTCATGCTACATTTTTTCCCGCACCATTTGCAAGTTGTGTACCACATCCCGGTCCTCGGGTCCTTCTGCTTATCAAAATTATACTGTACAACGGCACATTGACTTTCCATCTTAAAAAATGGTAGATATAATAATTCTACAATAGATGGAGATGAAGATGGAGAACGGAGATTAGAGATTGGATGTTGGAGAAAATGTGTATAAAAATGTTAGAAAATAAGAGTATTTATAGAATTTTTTGTATCCCCACCCCCCACCCACCCCGACCCCCAACGGCTCTATGCCTCTATTGATTCAAATTTCAAACAACCAAACTACCAAAGTGGCTATATAGCCGTTTGGGGCTTTTGATTTCAAATTTTTTGTATGTTTTAGTTTGAATAATAAATTACATAATGTAGAATTAATTAATTAATTTTATGAATTCAGTAAAAAATGCTCCATATAAAAAAATGAACGTATATTTATTTGAAATATGAACTACAAGTTTACAAGTTACAATTGAGAATTGAAGGTAAAATTAAAACATGAAATACTAATCAATCATTCAATCGGAATCTCCGACATAGGTAGAGCCACCCTAGGTTTTAGATTCATCCATAAAGTGTTGGGATGGTGTGATGTCAATTTCTTGAGCTTTACGGACCGCTTTCAACCAATCGTGGTAGCATATAAGCATCTCAAGAGATTCTGCGCTCAACCTCGTTCTACATTGCGTTAGGACATTGCCAGCCGAACTAAATTCTTGTTCCACGGCAACTGTTGAAACCGACATTGATAGCACTTGCTTAGCAATCTTTGCTAAAACCGGGAACATTCTTTCTTTTCCCTTCCACCAGTTTAGTACGTCAAAATCATCATCTTCTTCAAAATCAACATCATATGTTAAATACAAAGAAATCTCATTAATTGTGCTTTGTTGCGTAGCGGGAGTTGATTTCGTTTTTTAATAAGATTGACAAATGTAGATTTGAAAATTGATTTTTCCTTTAGATGATGTTTGTGTCGGGGGAGGGGGCGCATTGCCATATTGTGCATGAAACTCAATAAATAATGCATAAAATATATCACTAACCTCGTTGTATTCGTTTTTCGGATCAATTGAGTTGTCCTCATACATTTGCAATGGACCAAAAAAATCAGCATAATAATAATTCAAACATTCTTCTAAAGAACCAAGTCTAAAACGAGAATCGAGAACAAATGCAATACCATAAATATGCGGAATATGTGAATAATATTTTAAAAAATTTTCCTTCATAAAACTAGCAAAATAACTCATATAATCAGCACTCAAAATTTGAAAAAGCACCGACGAGATTAACAGCTTCACGAATAAATTGGTTTGAGGTAGGTTTATAAACATGACTAAAAGTTTCAGTTGCATTATTAAAATATATCAAAGCATTACAAATTTTTTCACATGTGTCGATCTCAGCCGAATTTATAATATAGTTATCATATTGTTTCATAAAAGCAGGAAAATGTTGTTTATATCCAAGAAGAACTCCAATTAACTTATAGGTACTATTCCAACGAATAGACAAATCTTTAGGAAAAGCCACATATTTCTCACCTCTTTCTATCAAATAATCATGTCATTTTTTTCTAAGTTATCCATTACCCCAAATACGTCTAATTCTCCCCTTGACTACCTCCAAAGATGCTCCCAACGCTTTTAGACCATCTTGCACACATAAATTTAGAACATGACATGCACATCGTTGATGAAAAAATCTACCCATCAAAGAAGTAGAACCACATAATTCACGCAATCTAGGAATAGCAGCAATATTATTAGTAGCATTATCAAAACCAATAACAAACACTTTATCAATTAAATTATACTCAATTAAAATACGCTCAATCAAAATATAAATATGTTCAGCGGTGTGACGATCATTAAATTCACGGAAAGCAAGAACACGTTTATGCATATGCCAATCATTATCAATATAATGTACAGTCAGACCCAAATAATGTAAATTATGATAAGTATCCTCCCATATGTCAGAACATACAATAACACACCCATCAAAGTTTGCAAAATAATTTTGTAACCTTACCTTTTCCGCACCATAAAGCCTTGAAATTTCTTTCTTAACCGTTTTGCGACTATAACCTCTATATTGCGGATTTAAACAAGTTTGTGCATAATCACGAAAAGCAAGACTTTCAGAAAACAAATAAGGCAAATTTTTTTCAACAAGTGAGTTAGCCATACCAGTCAAATTTTGTGCATCATTGTATGAGAAATTACCAAAAGCTTGTTGGTTATTTGCAAACCTCGATATTTGAGTTTGCTTCCCCGTTCCGCCGCCTAATTTTGCATACTCCACCGGGTGTTTGGACTTAAGATGTCTTGTGGCGGATCCGTATCTGCCGAAAATCCCCAAGCTATAGTTTTTCTTGCACCAATTGCAAGTTGCGGTCCAATTCCCGGTGTTCGGATCCTTCCACTTAGAAAAATTATTAGCCATTAGTTTAGATTTACTTTTTTTCGTACCGGTTTGGGATGAGGCAGGCTCGTCGGCGTCGTGGCTGCCGCCACCCTCCTCCTCCTCCTCCTCGTCGTGGCTCTCCGGAATTACTTCCTACACATCGTCGTCCTCGAGCTCTTCTTCGTCAATGGTCCTCGGCTGGTCTTGAAAAAAGCGGGAATTATGTCGGTGCAATTCTTGTTCTAGTTGTTCGTCGGTCATCGCATCCCCATCCCTCCTTGCTTAACCCGTATCAAAATCATCTCGACTTTGAGATGAAGAGCCGATATGTGATTTACCTTTGCGGGATCTCTTCCTCGCAAGCTCTTTCGTTCGGTTGCGCTCGAGGTTACCCATATCAACCGAATATCTAGAACGATCCATCTAAAAAATGTAACAAATATTAAATTGCAACAAATATATCAATAAAAATATATTAATAAAAAATTGGAGTTATAGCAAATTAGTATTTTAAAGTTTACTTTACTCAAATTAACTAGTGAATTAACTAGTTTTGTGTACAACCTATTTTTTTACTAACAATGAAATTAATATACTTTAACTTTAACTATAATGAGAATTAACTACTTTTTAAAACTAGAGTCAAAGGTAGCAATTAATAAAAAATTGTAATAAAGTAATTAACTATTAATCCAACTATTAATTCGAGTTATAGCAAATTAGTATTTTAAAGTTTACTTTAATCAAATTAACTAGTGAATTAACTAATTTTGTGTACAACCTATTTTTTTTACTAACAATGAAATTAATACACTTTAACTTTAACTATAATGAGAATTACAACTAGTTTTTTGTACAGCCTATTTTTTTTACTAACAATCAAATTATTATAGTTTAACTTTAACTATTATGAGAATTAACTAGTTTTTTTCAAGTAACGTTAATACAAAATTAAACAAGTGTAAATAATAGAATGATTTCGTACCTCTTTCGGACTTTCGGTCTTTCGAATGGGAGTAATAGAATGACTTCAAATTAATTAGATATAATTCCAACTATATTAATAGATATAATAAATGTATAAGTAATATATAATTAGATAAGAAATATAAGTAATATAATGTATGTATTTATAAATTATAAGTAGATATATAAATATAATATATTGGAGAATAAGAGAATTAGAGAGTAGAGAGTTAAGAATAGGATTTAAGAAGAATTGGAGAAGAGATATGAAAAAATGTTTTAGATTAGGAATATTTATAGGTTTTTTTACCCCACCCCCACCCCCCAAGCCCCCCGGACCCCCCTACATCCCACCCAACGGCTATATAGCTGTTTGGGTTGTCCCCAGCCCACCCCCCAACGGCTAGTTTGGCCCAAAAGTCCAAAACAATTTTTTTTTAAATTGTGACCGT